ATATTTTGGCGGGGTTTTGCCACACCTGCCCATATAAACGAGCCGTGGCTGCTTCAAATGGTCAGTCAGAGTGGTTTGATTTTGTTTGGACTTTTTTTTAGCTAGTCATGTTGGGAGAACAAATCAGCTAGGTTTTATGCTTCTAATTCGGTTAGTTGAAGTAGCCTAGTTTATTATCAGCTGCGATGTTTAAACATTTGTCAATGCGAAGAGGAACGCGTAAAATGCCGCGCGAGGACTTCATGGATGAATCGAGCGAGTTGGTGAATCATTTTCACTCAAAGGAACCGATTCGCTGCAGTGAACTTTGGAACGTATGCCAACCAAGACCCGCCCACATTTCTCTCCTCTGCTCTCCTGCTCGCAGTTCTGGTTCTCCAACTTTCAACAAGTTATGTGCGGCGCTTAGTCAAATGGGATCTGAGGATAAAATAATCAGCTGGATCTGCCGGTTAACGGTTATTACAGCTTTCTTCTTGATTGGCTTTATTATTGGTGAGTTTCTCTTCCTTTAAATAAGTATTTTTTTGATTATCTGCAATGCCTCTCGCGAGACAGGTTGTTTTAGACTGTCCTTTGCATAATTTTGCCATAAAAACATGTTGACACAAAGTTACCAAATAGGGTTCTTTCGAAGTAGCAACGCACATGCTTATTCATTTTTCATTGCTTATGGTCAAAATCTAATTGTGGTGTTTGACACCTGTTGGTCTCACCTGTCCAGATCTCCTGCCCTGCATTCCTCACTTCTTGAATGTCTGGATTTAGGACAGGTGTGAGTGACTATAGGCTACTGAGACCCCATATATCTTTATTTAAAAACAGGGGTTTACACACCTTTATTTGGATAAATATGTTTACAGATAAACACAGTCTTGAAGAAATGTTTAAGGGTCCCACAACCTGGAAATATCAGAGAATTTAAACTTTTTTGTTTTTTTAAAGATCTGGAAAACTCATGGAAATATAAATCAGTGATGTAGCCTATATTTATTTTCTGAATGCATTTTTTGTGTAATTATGTTAAGCTCTAAATATTGCATTAGCTAGAATTTGCTCCCTGTGAGTTAGATTCTTTCATAAACATGCTAAACCAAATCTGAATGGAAAAAAGTCATGAAAATCCATTCGACAAATGGTGTGTAAACCCCGGATGTTTTGCTCACTTTGTTTATCGTTGCTCTCAATGATACGTTCCACTCAGTCTTAAAAATAAAGGTTCTTTATTAGAATTGGTGGTTCCATGGAGAATCTTAAACATTAATGCAACATTTCCATTGTACAAAAGATTCTTCAAATGTTCCTTACACTTGTTTCTTTGAAGAACTGTTCACTGAAAGGTTCTTTGGGGAACCAAAACTGGTTCTTCTATGGCATTTCTGTGAAAAACCCCTTTAGTAACCTTTATTTTTAAGAGTGAGTGCATTAATGTTTAATTCTGAACAGACACCATCATCATGACTTCTTCTTATGCACATTAAACCGATGAATCGGGAATATTTCTCAGACCTGGTTTGGTGTAACAGGTGTGTGTTTCTCATCATCTTAGGCTGGTTTGCTCGACCTACTACTGTCAATCATGGACACGCATCGAAAAGCTTCCTGCGCGACTTTCTGGATGAGATGCAAGCAGAGAATATTAAACACCATCTCAGGTGCCCTAGTCCTGATATTATTGAATATTAAGTGCATCTAAAAAATACAGTAAGGTGCTGGTGATACAACTGCATGTATTGTTGGTGGATTATAGGTAATATAAATATAGGATATAATTTATTTAATAGTGTTTTTGTTTAGTTTAGTGAAGAATGATTCATAGGCGTAGCACGGGTGTGCTGGTGCCGCCCACAGTGGCAGCTGGCACACCTAAATAGATGCAGAGTTATTAAAGTCTTTAAAGTCCTAATAAAAATGTTTTTTTATTTTTTTAACTTGGACTATTATTGTTTACTTACAATATTTGTACATTTAAAGGGATACTTCAGGATTTAGCATTAAGCTTTGTATTAGTAGAAAACCTGTAGTATTTTCGAATTACCGTGATTTCCACCCTCATATCGCCCTGAGACGAGAGATTATGTATTTTTTGTCTGGAAAAAATCCTCTGATGACGCAAAAATCGTCATTTTGCGTCATCGGAGGATTTTTTGGCCAGAGGCTAAAGACTACAGTCAGTAGTAGGGGCTGTCCCGCATGTTCTGAACCTGCCCATAGAGGGTGGGATCTCACTCACAGAATGGACACATAGTGTCAGCCATCTTTTTTTGGAAGCTAAGCTAGCAGGCTCTTGTTCTGTGGAGAAAGCGGAGTAGTAGGGGTTACCATCCTCTTTTTCCCGGACATGTCCGGCCGTCGATGTCTGGGATTCAGCTTTTGCTTTCTGCAGTCGCCATTCATTGTTTACATGCACACCTTTTGTTTCAATCTAACTGAATTCATTCCGATTGGTGAATCTGAATGTAGTGTTTACATGAACGCTAAACAAGTGATCGGTTGATGT